TACATAAATATGTGATCTTAATAATGGGTTTATGTCTTTATTACAGTCCATATCTCACTGCAGTACAGGTGTGGACAGAGCCTCCTCTTTAGATTATAGTCTGAACACCTGCAGATCATTCTAGATTGACAGATTGCAATCCAGAGCTGCCTTGAGGCAGACTGATGGAAGTGCAGCTGCCAGCCAATCTGCTCCATCGGCCCCTCCGACCACCAACATCACTCACGCACACAAGACTTTCACACTAGGCAATGTGGGTGAAGTGCCTTGCCTAAGGACACAACTGGTGCCCCACTGTGACACCTGATTTTCCCAGTGTCTCCCATCCAAGTACTAACTAGCCCCAGTCTTGCTTAGCTTATGAGATCTGATGGGATCAGGCTTTGACAAGCTGGTATGGCCACTTATGGCACACTTGGTGATGGTTGTGGTTTATTTGTGGCACACACCAGATTTAAATCCATCACCGTGACCCCTTAAAAGACAAGCAATAAGAGCAAGCATGTTTCTTATCTAACATTCATTTCAATCAATCAATCAAACTTTATTTGTATAGCACTTTTCATACATTTGAAATGTAGCACAAAGCGCTTCACATGCAACAGAAAAATTACAATATTAAAAATAACAGCAATCCCCCACCCCATTATTTCATGCATATATACAACAATAAAACATAAACATAAAGCTCCTAAAGGTTATAGTAAAAATATAAATGGAAAGCTAAAAACAGATGGAGACTAAAAAAAATATTAATGGTAATGTAATTAAAAGCAAATACTACTACTACTACTACTACTACTACTACTACTACTACTACTACTACTACTAATAAATAATAATAATAATAATAATAATAATTATTATTGTAGGATCCAGTCGAACTGAGAAGGCCAGAACTGATGGTTAAATGACTTTTAATCTTTCCTTGCCGTGTCATAGAACCAACGTAAGAGCTAGACAAGAACAAAATAACAGCAATTACCATACGATTACAGCATCACTAGCTCATTACATTGCTTAACCGTTATCCATATTTAACATTAATTTGATACAAGTGACAAGAAGTTCAAATATACATTAACAAGTCAAACAAACCTTGTTCCCCTGTCGACTGTAGCTATCTTTACTTTGTTTTATATAACTTTTCTCCGTTGTTTTGATTTTCACTATTAACGTTGCCGTGTTTACTGTGCGTCGTTTCTTTATAACGTTTTTTCCTTCACTTCCGTTCACACCGGAAGTTATCAAAATAAAAGCGCAACTTACATTTAAATGCCATAAACTGCGTGTTAATGTATATGAGAGCTAACTTGACCTTTACAATTATTATTATTATTATTATTATTATTATTATTATTATTATTATTATTATTATATTATTATTATTATTATAAAACAAGTAAAAGTTTCAGTTAAAAGCTAAATTAAAAAGATACGTTTTGAGTTTACACTCGCAGTGGACCTCAGATCCTCAGGTCGACTGTTCCACAAACGGGGGCCGTAAAAGTTGAATGATGCCTCACCGTGAGTTTTAGTTTGGACTCTTGGGACAGTTAAAAGAGGACTACCTGAGAGTCCGAGAGGCTCATATGATAAAAGCAGATTAGATAAATAAATAGGACCAATTAAAGAACTTTAAAATCTATCCTGAAGCTCACAGGAGCCAGTGCAGAGACTTCAGTATTGGGGTGATGTGCTCTCTCTTCCTGGTCCTCGTCAGCAGCCGTGCTGCAGAGTTTTGGAGGAGCTGTAGTGGAGCTGTGGTTTTCTTTGGAAGACCAGAAAGGAGAGCATTGCAGTAATCAACACGATTTGTGATAAAAGCATGTATTAAAGTCTCTGCACTGGCTTGAGAGAGAAATGGTCTGACTCTGGCAATATTTTTTAGATGATAAAAAACAGATTTAGTGATGGACCTGATGTGTGGCTCAAAGCTAAGCTTTGGTACCTTATTATGGTAAGGATAATCAAATGCAAGATCATTTACACACTTGCGATTTGAATGTTAATGCATAAAGATTTTTTAGGCTTAAATTTGTTAGTAGTATTAAAGATGTACTATGTAACTTTCCTGCTGGGAGCGATAATGGCAATGCTACAGTCTATTGTTCCTCAGTATGTCATTAAACTTGTCTGTCTCCTTGGAGACAAGCCAGTGGCGCAACCAGGCCATGTTTACAGGTCAGATCTATGGAGAGGTGACCCCCACTCATAATAAGAATTCATGTTTAGTAGTTTTTATATGCGTACTTTATATTTTTACTCAAGTTTCGCAGTAGTACTTGTAATTGAGTAGATGTTTTGTGTAACTGTACTTTTACTCTCAGATTTTCAGTCGTCTTTTCACCATTTGAACCAAGAAACTAAAAAGAAGCTGATTTAACCAATGAATATACCGGTTAAAGAAAGAGGAGGAGGAGAGAGAAATGAAGATAGAAAATCAAACCTACTGCCTTAAAGCAGGACTAAACACCTAAACTCCACCCACAAACACATTTCATGCTTGTTTTCTATAGAGATATCATTGTTCTGCCTGGAATGTTCCACAGTGTGACATTAAACAGCTCTACTTTACATTTATTCAATTACAGGTGGTTTTATAGCTCAAAAATAGACATGCTGACTGTGAGCGAGGTCGCCTCTCCACAGATCTGACCTGGAACTTGGTCTAGTTTAGTCTCCATGGAGATAGAAATGTTTAATACCATACTGTGAAACATTCCAGATGAAGCAATATCTCCATAGAGACCAGAAATGTTACACAATGCATCTTTAAAAAAAACACCATTAGTTTAGTAGCAAATTTTTTTTGTGATTTAATTTTTACTTTCACTTTAAAAACAGTATTGAAACCCCTTGCAGTAACTAGTATCTTGAGAATACATATTCTTCTTTATCACCTATATGATGATTTAACATTATTTTCCAAAAAAGGCAGTTTAAGCAGTAATTTAGCTCTCAGCCTCATTTACAAGTCAACCGTTTTGTGACACGTGCAGTACTCGGCTTCAGGGTCGACTAAGGCTTAGTTCCATATCCAGAAATGTTCGTCCTAGGGATGTTACTAATCTGGCAAAGTTTCATGCTTGTACCATAAAAATGAACAATTGGGCACCTTTTTGGTCCTTAACAGCTCCACTAAGGTCAGGGGGGAGATGTCAAAATATTTTTAATGACAAAACTATAAAGAGTTGGGAGATAAAATCTAGGACTTTTCCTGTTGGAAAGTGTGTGAACCTCCTAGAATTTTTTCAGTCAAATCTGAGATGGTTGAGTGGGGCTTTTGGAGATTTAGTGTGAAATGATCCAATTATCTTCATCCAGACACAGAAGTGAGGTTCATGTCTGCACTCTTTTTCTGTCAAACTCCACTATTAACATCACTTTTTTTGCTCAGCGATGTAAAAATAGATGAAAAATGATGGACTGTTTTAAACCGAGGAGAGTGAGTCTGTCGGAGCACACAGAGACACTGAAGAGTCGTCATAAAGCATAAATCCAGGGATCAGAGTGTGAGTGAATGTGGTGTAGAAGGTGTGGAGGTGGGTCAGTTGGTCAGAGGAGACTGTGTAGAAGGACAGAGAGCCAGCAGGACAGTCCACAAACACTGACACTCTCCCAGAAGAGGAACAGGGCTGAGGGAGGAGGGTTTGTTTGTTATTATGATGAACAGAGAAACCATCTCCAGACTCCAGGACTGATCATTGTGTCCAAACAAACTCTCTGCATTGTCTCCTTTCCTTTTGATTCTTCTGTAAGACACTGATATATAAACCCATCCACTCCACTGGACCTCCCAGTAACAGCGACCAGTCAGACCAGTGGAACACAGAATCTGAGGCCTCAAGTCAAATCTGTCCTGATAATCTGGATACGGCTGCTCCTCTGTCACACATGTCACCTTCTTGTTGTTGTCAGACAGTTTGAGTTTTCTGTTCGCTGTGTTTGGATCCAGAGTGAGATGACAGAAATCTGATGGAGAGAAGATACAACACAGCAGCAGTTAGTCCCCTGTCCACTCTCATCATTCCACTCTTCTGTTTGTCTCACGTTTATGTGAGTGTAAAAACATTTCCTTTCACAGCCCCACACCAGTCTATTTCAGATTATTCTCAGTGTAAATCTGGAGTCTATTTCAGATTATTCTCAGTGTAAATCTGGAGTCTATTTCAGATTATTCTCAGTGTAAATCTGGAGTCTATTTCAGATTATTCTCAGTGTAAATCTGGATTTCTCTGGAGTTTGTTGCTGCAGTGACAAAGTGCAGCTCCAGTCTCTGACGTCACTCCACACATTCCTACACTCCTCTGTGCTCCAGGACACACACTTTCTCCTTTAAAGAGGGGCTATGTTCTGAGTCTGTCCTCTCTTTGCTCCTCGTGCTAAATCCCTCCCCCTTCAGAGCACTATCCCAACACACACAACCCCTAATGAAACATCAGGTTTGTCCAGTTGCTGTGCTCAGTTTTGTGTCATGTTTTTGTGTATTTATGGAGAATTGTCATGTGGGAGCGTGGGGGACGTAGGCTTGTGGGCAGAGCCTCGTACAGGCTCGTACTGCTAACAGTAAGGAGGGTCCAGGAGAGATCTCTAGATTACTCAAACATGCATGGATGACTTTTTCTTGCATAAGAGCTGCTCTTTAAAATCTGTCCATGTGAATCCAGTGTGACTTGTGCTTGTGTGGAGACAGTCCTGTGCTGAGTCCAACAGTTGTGTCTGTGTCAGTGGCTTCTGATGTTTTGATTAATTTATTGTGATTATTGTGATTTTGTACAAATAAACTTGCCTTGGATTGTAAAAACAGTGTCCAGGTGATGACCCCTGAAACTCTACATCTCTACATCACAACAGTGTTTGAACTGCCTCAAAAGGAAATGCTGTGACCCGCAAAAATGAGCCAGTTGTGTAATAGAATGTTGACAGACGCTTTGTTTGTGTGACACAAATAAAATCATAAAACTGAACAGAGTTAAATGGTTTAAGTCAGATTTACATCTCCGGACTGGATTCATCCATCGTTCTCCAGCAGGTGTCAGTCTGAAGGAAACACACCACATCAGAGTTTGTCTCAGAGTATTTTCACTTCATGTGACATTCAGATGTGTTCTTTTGACCCTAACACTCTTCTCAGTCTGTGGTGCACAGGCCTCTGGTGCTTCTGAAGTCTGTCTTTATTCATGACACTGTCATTTATGATTTTGAGTGTTAAGCAGGCGAGCATGTCCATACCTGAGAGTGTCCAGTGTGCAGTGGGGGTCCTCCTGTAGAGCACACAGGAGCTTTACTCCTGTGTTTCCTGGATGGTTGTAGCTCAGGTCCAGTTCTATCAGATGGGAGGTTGGTTGGACCTCAGAGCTGAGGCCAGAGAAGCACAGCCTTCCTCTGAGAGCAGACAACCTGACAGTCTGAGGACACAGATTATTGGAATCAGTCCATTCATTAGAAACATTCAACCCAAATGAGACAAAGAACAAGTCCCAGATCTTTATGTGACTTTATCAAATGTGATTTTCCAACGCAAATACCAACAGGTTATGTAATAAAAGTGAAGAATATGAACCCCTCTGACCTGAGCTGTTCCAGTTTACAGTGACGACTCTTCAGTCCAACACACAACTTCTTCAGCCCTGAGTCCTTCAGGTGGTTGAGACTGAGGTCCAGGACTGTCAGACTAGAGGACTGGGAGCTGAGGACTGAGGACAGAGCTTCACAGCTTCTCTCTGACAGGTTACAGCTGCTCAGTCTGGAGGAGGAGACAAGAGCTCATTAGAGAAGAACTCAGAACAGAAGTGACAAGTTCAGATACATCCTTTCACTCCCAATCTCAACAATCAATCTGTAAAGAAAAAAATAAAATCATGAAAACAAAAACAGTTACTGTATTTCTGCTGTAGGATGGTGTTGTTTTACTCGTCTTTTAAACCTGGACAGTTTCATTTCATGAAAAACAGTTTATTTATCCATTTAAAGAATGGGCCTAATACTTTATGAATATAAATGTTCTTGGGACACAGTTGACTTCAAACATGTTCTCATTGGTTCTTGGACAGAAGGAGGAGATCAGATGTTCTTTCTCGTGTCGTTTGTTTTTGTCTCTGCTGTTTTGTCTTTGTTTGTCCCTTTGTCTCTTCTGTGTGTGTGTCTCCTCCACACTCCTGTTTCTTGCAGCTCTGCTCTAGTAGAATGGAACACAACTTCCAACAGGGAATCAAAGTTATTAGTTGTAATGTAAATGGGATTGGAAACAAAATAAAGTGTTACAAAACATGATCACATCTTAAATCTTCAGCCTGTGACAGCGATGATACAGCAGACACATTTAAGTGAAATGGAATCGCATAAATTCAAACAGAGATGGGCTGGACAGAGGCTTTCCTCAACAGGAAGTGAAGTGTAACGCCAGGAGGTCGGGAGGTCGACTCCGACCACGGTAAGTCATGTGTAATTACAACTGCAGCATCAGAAGGCTGGTTCTTACAGGAGCTTGAGGTGTGAATAAACAAACAACCAGAACTGAAGTTTGAACCAAAAATGTGTTGATGTGTCAAATAAACCAGACAACAACAGGAACAGATGTTAGGATTTGTATTATTGGTTGAGGCAAAAGTTCAGAGTTTAACCCAAAAGAAGAAGTTCCAGTAAAGATACAAACAGGTTCCAAATGTCCACAGTAGGGTGTGTGCGGGAGTCTATTTTGTCTGACCACTTAGGGAGTTCTGAAGCTCGTCATCGTGAGGTGAGTGGAAGTCCAAAAAACCCGACTGTTGAGACGTGTGGAACTGGAACTGTGGCAAAAACTGAATCCAGCACTTGAATAAACATGGTGGGCAGTGAGTCGGGTCCCAAACCTTTTACAACATCTGCAGCTGGAGGAAGTAAATGAAGTAAATAAATAAAGGCTTTAGGAAGTGCAGGTTACAGGAGAGAGTCTAATTTCTAAAAAGATGGACTTTAAGTTTACAGATTTAATCATAGAGATGGAAGACAGATCATCACAGTCGGACACAATTACTGTAAAAAACATCACTTTGGTGAATGTACATGCTCCTAATTATGGACAAACATGGAACTGGACTTGTTGCCAAATGTAAAGATGAACACATCATGTTTGGTGAAGAGTTAAATTTAGTGAATAATCCAGAGCTGGATCCCTGTAAGCGCCCACTGCCTGTAGAGGGCGCTCTTTCTGCATCTCTTAATGAGCTCCAACAAATGTCAGGTTTGACAGATGCATGGTGCTGTGTGAATCCTCTTTCCAGATACTTCACCTTTACTAAAGTGCAGAATACAAAGTCAAGAATGGATTATGTGACACATCAACTCCCTCATGCACATTATGATGACGTCAGATCACGCTCCTGTATCTGTTTGTTTACTGTGACGCCCCAACAAACCTCAAATAAAACAGTGTTTCATATGAGTCATGTGAGGGACGCAGAAACTGTTACTAGTTTAAAAAAGAAAATATATATTTTTTAGATGAATATTGGATCAGTTTGATCCGTTCAGATGGTGTGGGAGGCTTTTAAGGCCACATGTCCAGGGAGGTGCATTAGTTATAGTAAAAAACAAACTTAGACTGGAGTTCACACTGATGCAAAAACAACATGAATAAACCCAATGACCTGAAATTTAAATATTCTTCAATATTGAAAAGGACGGCAATTCAAACAATAACACATGAAAAGTATGAGGAGGAAATCTTTTGAAACTGGAGAAAAAGTGTTAAATGATTCGTGCTCAGATTGAAACAACTGGAGAGTAACTCTTCAGTGATTCAACACACTGGTGGTTCATGTGTCACTGCTCAGGCTAAAATAAACTCACGTTTCCACACATTTATATTCTATTGTGAGGATGATTTCAGATATTATTCTTGCTCCCAAACCAGGAGAACCCCTGTCATGTTCTTTTGTTTTGGTTTAGTTCTGGATTAGTGCTGGTTTAGTTCTTGGTTTAGTCCTGGTTTAGACCTGGTTTAGTTCTGGTTTAGTTCTGGTTTAGTTCTGGTTTAGTCCTGGTTTAGTTCTGGTTTAGACCTGGTTTAGTCCTGGTTTAGACCTGGTTTAGACCTGGTTTAGACCTGGTTTAGACCTGGTTTAGTCCTGGTTTAGACCTGGTTTAGACCTGGTTTAGTCCTGGTTTAGTCCTGGTTTAGACCTGGTTTAGTCCTGGTTTAGTCCTGGTTTAGACCTGTTTAGACCTTTAGTCCTGGTTTAGACCTGGTTTAGACCTGGTTTAGACCTGGTTTAGACCTGGTTTAGTCCTGGTTTAGTCCTGGTTTAGACCTGGTTTAGACCTGGTTTAGACCTGGTTTAGACCTGGTTTAGACCTGGTTTAGACCTGGTTTAGACCTGGTTTAGTCCTGGTTTAGACCTGGTTTAGACCTGGTTTAGTCCTGGTTTAGACCTGGTTTAGACCTGGTTTAGACCTGGTTTAGTCCTGGTTTTAGACCTGGTTTAGACCTGGTTTAGTCCTGGTTTAGTCCTGGTTTAGACCTGGTTTAGACCTGGTTTAGTCCTGGTTTAGTCCTGGTTTAGACCTGGTTTAGACCTGGTTTAGTCCTGGTTTAGACCTGGTTTAGACCTCCTGGTCTAGTGGTTTAGACCTGGTTTAGTCCTGGTTTAGTCCTGGTTTAGACCTGGTTTAGTCCTGGTTTAGTCCTGGTTTAGACCTGGTTTAGACCTGGTTTAGTCCTGGTTTAGACCTGGTTTAGACCTGGTTTAGACCTGGTTTAGACCTGGTTTAGTCCTGGTTTAGTCCTGGTTTAGACCTGGTTTAGACCTGGTTTAGTCCTGGTTTAGACCTGGTTTAGTCCTGGTTTAGTCCTGGTTTAGACCTGGTTTAGACCTGGTTTAGTCCTGGTTTAGACCTGGTTTAGACCTGGTTTAGTCCTGGTTTAGACCTGGTTTAGACCTGGTTTAGACCTGGTTTAGACCTGGTTTAGTCCTGGTTTAGTCCTGGTTTAGACCTGGTTAGACCTGGTTTAGTCCTGGTTTAGACCTGGTTTAGTCCTGGTTTAGACCTGGTTTAGACCTGTTTAGACCTGGTTTAGTCCTGGTTTAGACCTGGTTTAGACCTGGTTTAGTCCTGGTTTAGACCTGGTTTAGACCTGGTTTAGTCCTGGTTTAGACCTGGTTTAGACCTGGTTTAGTCCTGGTTTAGACTCCGCTCTCCTCACTTCTCCACGTCTCTTTATTCTGTGTATGATGTGACCATAAAACAGTTGTTGAGGACTGAGGATTGTTTCAGACGGACACTGCTGAAGGCCGAGGTGTGAAACACGCTCCACCACTGAAATGCACTAATATTGTAATGGAACAAATTACTTTGAAATGACAGTAACAAGTCATAAAAAACTCCTTACAGTTTTAAAGTCACTTGCCCAACAGTGAAGCTGACCACGGCAAACGTGAGGGTTTCCAAAGTAGATTTCAAAGCTCTTATGAAGAGTCTTTGTGGAGCTGGGCTTTTTCACACGACACAGATCTGCCCCAGGAGCACGATGTGCTGATGTAAACGCACAAATACAACCAAAGATTCATACTCATGCGCCTACGCTCATGTAGAGCCTCAAAAAACAGGACGGATCCTATTTTCTGAAATCTCCGCTGGCAGGACTCACTGCTCCTCACGCACGTTTAGAGCGAACAGAGGAGACGCCCTCAGTCACTTTCCGTACATTCTAACATGGGATCCATGCAGCTGATACTTGGTGGTGCAAAACATCCAGACAGAAGCGCAAAACCCATTTGGTTGGTTAAATGTTGTTCTGAGTGTCCATCCTTCACACATTTGGCTCTTCCCGGGGAAAGTGCTTCTCAGACTGTGACACCAAACACCGCTCCCCGACCTGAACCAGAGCTGCTCCCGCTGGATCAGGACTGTGGTTTGGACGCTGTTCCCCAGTTTGTTTGGGCGTATCCCCAAGACTAATGACAAACTGAGATGACAGAAAAGCCGGGAGCTAGAGGTAAGATCTTAAGACCGAGCCCAAGCCCGACCCGACCCGACCCGACCCGAAATTCGGGTCGGGTCGGGTCTAAAATGTCAATCATTACTTCGGGTCGGGTCGGGCTCGGGCTTCAAATAAATATATGTTTATAAAATGTATGCTAAAACGATGTGTGGATACTAAACTAAGGAATACTTGTTATAAAATAAATAATATGGATAAAACAGAGAAGTAATGTAATGTAATTGCTATTTAACTACTAAACAGGATCCGCAGAGCCAGAGCTCTGCGCACGTGAACGCCCCCTCTTAATTTAATCATCTTCCCCTCCGCAAGTCTGCATCTATTTTGACCTGGTTTCCCCAATATGGAGAAGCAAGAAGTTAAACTAAAGGCAGGAGAACTGAAAAGACAAACACGCACCGGTAAGAGTGAGGTGTGGAAAAGCTTCAAATTGATTATTGAAAATGCTACAGAAACTTGCGGGACTTCGCTGAATGTCGTCAATGTGGCGCTTTGCTTTCATACGAGAGCAAAAAGACTGGCACCTCGACGCTGAGCACTGCTCCTCCTCCCGAGTCCTCACAAATAAAATATGACATTTCGGGTTTGCTTCGGGCTCGGGCCTGCAAATCAAGTTAATTGGTTGGGCTCGGGCCGGGTCGGGTTTTAATACCCGCGGGCCGGGTCGGGTCGGGCTGGATTTTTTAGGCCCGATCTCACCTCTACCGGGAGCAGCTGAAGTGTGTGTTTTCTTCCGGTCAACATACATACGTTTGTGTCTCTGTCCAATCAGAACTTTCCCCATCCCCAGACACTGAGCGGAATTAAATAAAGATGATTTAATGTGTTTTCCATCTAAACCTCAATTCGGTGTGTGTGCGTGTGTGTGTTTAATTCCAAATAAAAAATAATGTAATAAAAATTAATTCCGCTTTAAAAAGTCCATGTAAACACTTAATTCCTAATGAAAATTATTATATGAAATTAAACTTAATTCTGAAGTGAGTGTTTGGTTTATTCTGATTTTAAAGCCAAATTAATTTCTTCCTGGATCATGTTTCACATTTATTCTTGTTAATGTCGGTGCTTCGGCGCATGCTCGTGTCACTCTTCTGACACGATCCGGCTCCACTAGTTCTGTCTTTGGACTTTGATCCACGTCTCTTTGGATTTGTGAGCGGGATGTGGGAGTGGGCTGAGGTAGATCAGTCTCACACTCACTTTGTCTTCTTCCTCCTTCTCCGACACTCTTCCC